GAGGGGCTCGTTCTGTTTAGGCGTTATCCTCGGCCTTCCCTGCCAGCAACAACTGTGTTTCTCTGTCCTCCTATCACGCCTGTCCGGCTTTGATGCAAGGTGATGGTGTGCAGTGACCTGGGTCAGAGCTTAGCCAATATTCAGAGCTGTAGCTGGGGGGGATTACAAGTGGCTGGCCCCACTCAGGACTGCATAACTTCCCTGATAATTCCCTCTCTGGCCACCCTGGTCTTCCTGCATCTTCACCCTGGACCCTTCATGCTGCCACTATCTGTGATACCTCACTAGCAGCTGTAGCTCAGTCAAATGCTCTCTACAACCTGCCAAACTGATAACCAGCAGATACTTTTATCAGCTCCACCTCTATTACAATAGCAGTGTTTTATCTTTATCCAACTCCCTCATTGCTCTCTTGTGCTTGTGTGTAGGAATCACTGAGTAGTGCTCGCCCTGCATATTGGTGATGTATGAAGTCAAAAGGTCACAAAGCTGTGTGTAGTTACACTGAACAGGAGGAATAGGAGGGGCAGCAATCTGAGGCAGATGTGTTATTATTTTAACTATTTTTTCTGGGCTGTTCAAAGTGCTTCAGAGCGGCTCACTGGCACCGTATACAAAGTAGGAAAGCTGGGATAGCTGGCTTTCCCAAACAGAGGCCACTGAACGGTGACTGAAATGTAATTGCCACTCACTCTGTGACCGACACCAGGTTGTCTTGTGATGCGGCCGCCTCCTCTCTCAGCTTGTCTCCAGGCAGCAGCGGCGTGGGCAGCTCGGCTTCTTTCCTTCGGGGTAAGTTGAATAACCTCCACGGTGCGTGGGAGCTGTCGTCCTCCAGGTTGATCGCTGCACCCACATACACGGTCGGCTCAGGAGGCTCGGAGTAGGCTGAGGTCCCGGGGTGGGGGTTGGGTTGATGGGATTGGAAGTGCTGATTCAGAGCCTCTGGCCCTCCTTGCTCCTCGCTGCTGCCCTTCACCCCGACCAGGCAAGCGTCTGGCTGCGGCTGGTAGAAGTGTTGGCTATTGGGTGTCGAAGGGTTCTTCATGCCCTCCCCTGACTCCTCACTGCGTTCACAGGGGTGGGGACTAAGTGGTGGGGGTTGAGGGGAGTTGGCCTGTTCTGATGGCCCAGTGCTAACGCCCCCACTGTGGAGCTGGGGGGCTTTTTGGATGGCGGATACGTCTGCAGAGCGAATACTAGGAAATCTTGCTCCATCCTGACTCCTCAGGGCCAACCTCTGTCCAGCTGTTGCCTCTGTGTCTATGGAGGCTTCGTCGCTGGCCAGGCTGCGATGATGGAAGGGTGTCTGGGGTCTTTTCTGCTGCTTGTCACCCTTCTCTGGCTTCTCTCCTCCAGTTTTGTGCTTGGTCGGAGGTTGGGATGGCTGGCCAGCTGACTGAGGCTGGCCCGTGTTGTTGGCTGTTCGCTGCTTAACTAATTTGTATCTGCAGGAGAGCAAAAACAGGGAAATGCAGTGAGACGGTGACAAGGAGCAAAACACTCGCACATACAGAGAGTCTTTTACGAGAAGTTGTGCAGCTCGTGTGAAACTTCCTTCAATCGCATCTGTTGCTCTTATAAAACATCAATTAGCCCAATTATGCTCACGAGCAACAAGGCAGCACCGCCACCCAAATTGATCCCAACACACTTCACGGATCAGCTCCAGAGTAAAGCTGTAACAGCTAAACCACAAAGGCTGATGCAGTCATACATTTAATTATTCACAGTCAAACTGATGACATGAAAAAAAATCATCTTCTAAAACATCAATATTGTATTTTCTTCACACAGCCAAACAGAAATGAATGAAGCAGATTCACAGAGTGCTGTCAGAAGAAAAGAAACAACATATGAAGGATTCACCATGACCTGCTAGACCACCCACCTCCCAAAAGCCACTCTCCTCACCTTGGTATCACCTGGCTCCTTCATCCCATCAGACACGTTTCAAAGAAAAATAGTCTGAGGTCATCTTTTACCCTGTTTTGATGGCTCAGCACTCGCGCTGCGAGCAGCACTTACACATCAGTGTCCCTCTTTAATAAGCAGGCTTTGTGCATGACCTCACATTCAGCTGTCAACATAAACACACACGTATGGCTTCCATCTACAAAACAAAGCTAATGGACAGTAAAACTGGCAACGCACAGCTTCCCATTTATGTGCTGCCAAAGAGTTGGGTGCTTTCCAGCAAATTAACATGCTCCAGCTGACTGGCCCAATTCACTCTGCTCATCTGCAGTCCGAGGTGCACGAGCCCGGTGCAGAGGATTCCCCAAACACGCACACAGATCCACTTTAGATAGCGCTTTATTATCAACCACAAAGCAGAACTTTCTTTCAGTTGGTTTTGGACAAAACCAGTCAAGCATCCAGGCATAGAGTATACTGGTTAGATGTGCAGACTGGAGTGGTCGGGCTGGTGTTTCAGC